CTTTTCTGAGGTGCTGTTAATGAAATGTGCAGAAACCTTGACAAATTAGAGGGTTGGACTAAAAGAAACCTCATGAGGTTCAATAAGGATATGTACAAAATCCTGTACATAAGGCAGAAAAATCTTATGCACTGGTACAGGCCAGGGTCCAACTGACTAAGCAGCAGCTCTGGAGAAAAGGACCTGGTGGCTACAGTGGAGAATAAGCTAAATATGAGACAACAGTGTGCCCTTTTCCAAGAAGGCTAACAGCATATTGGGCTACATTAGTAGGAGCATTGCCCTCAGATTGAAGGAAGTGATAATTGCCCTCTATGGGCACGTCCACACGAGCGCGCATGTGCCTCTTGCCCCGCCTCAAACCCCTTTGAGGTGGGGCAACAGGCAAGTGCGGGAACAAAAAAATGTTCCCCGTGCTGCAAACTTGCAGCACAGGGAGAAAATTAGACCCCTGGATATCCAGGGGTCTAAACAAATCGATGTTTAAAAAAGTGGAGCAGTACATGGTCCCCATCCGTGCCCTGAGGCAACCGGAGGCTGGGTCCTCCACAGAGATGCTCTGGCTGCCAGAGTGTCTCTGTGGTTGGCCCTCACCCTGGTGCTGAAACATGTGGCCGGCCAGGCCGCATGTTTCAGCACCAGGGCTCCGGTGCCAGTGAGTAAAGGATCAGGGGAGCTGGAGGAGGGGGGAGGGTGCCATGGTGCACAGTGCGGAGCAGGCTGACAGCCCCAGGAGCCCCAGCCTGGGCTCTGCTGCACAACCCCCCACTGCCCTGTGCTGCCCCAGGGGGGCTCTGCCAGGAGGCCCTGGAGCCCTCCCACCCCTGCTTCTAAGTTAAGCAGAGGCTTTTTTTTCCTATTTTTTTTCTGTTTTCTTTTTTTTTTAAGTGATGGTGCCTGGGGTTGTGGGGGTAGCCATGGGGACCTGGGGGTTGTGGGGGTAAGGCTGGGTGGGCCAGCTATTGGGGGGGCTGCAGCAACTGGTGGGGGATGGGGATAGGTGAGGCAGCAATTGGGAGGCTGGGGTGGGGAATGTGGGCCTTGCAAGGGGGTGGTAGCCCCTGTGGGGGCCATTTGGCCACCATTGGGGGGCCGTACCCCTTGTGTGGGGGCTGAATCCCCTGTTGGGGGCCCGTACCCCTTGTTTGGGGGGGCTGAACCCCTTGTTGGGAGGCATACCCCTTTTGTGGGGGGGCCTATCCCTTGTGTGGGGGCTGAATCTCCTGTTGGTGGCCCATACCCCTTGTTTGGGGGGTTGAACCCCCTGTTGGGAGGCCAAACCCCTTGTGAGAGGGCCAAATCCCCTGTTGGGGGGGCCAAATCCCTTGTGTGGGGGCCATCACCCTGTGGGAGTGCAGCAAAACATGTATTCATGAATTCATGAAACATGTATTTAGAGTTCACTTTATTATTATG